CCAAAACAATACACCAACCAATAACAGTCAAATATTTTCTGGGTGGGAAATGTGATCTCAAGGTCAACTGATCGGCCTGTATGCGAAAGCATAAAATCCAAAATTAAGACCGTTATCAAGTGAGTTCTGGGTATCTAACGTCTCCAACATAAAGACATTTATATTATTATTAAAAATCGTATTAATTTTATGAGTGTGCATACCTTTTTGAATCAGTTTAATTTCCTGAAATTAAAAATCTTGGGAGCCTAACTACTACGTCATGGTGACTAATTTACTGATAAAATATTTACAACTAAAACAACTAAGTTCAGATGTTAACAGTTCTGAAAATTAACTATTATGCAATCTTGCTTAAAATTGTTCTGTTACTGGTTTATGAAGCTTTAAGCCAACAAAATAACACCATTTCCCAAACGTATTGACATTATTCACAAAGCAATTTAATCATAGGAAGTTTATAATGGCCATTTTATCTGAAGTCGCCATAAAAGCAGAAATAAATAGGTTTAATGACGTTAATAAAACAAAACTCAGTGAGTGAGTTAAGGGATAAAACTTGACAACTGGATTTTCAAAATACCGACTGATTTTTTGTCTACTTGATCAGACCGAATAATTCGATCATCCAAATGAAAGTATCATTTCGGTATAAACGTTTCATTGTGTATTTTTTGCTTTTACCATTTACGTAAATTATGCATCGAATAACTATTTCATTTTAAAACATGTTGCTATGAAGCAGCTGTATACGATTAGCAGCTATTTTCCTTGCCAAAATTATGATCAGTATAGACATAACTTTTAGTCAGGCCATTTTAAATCATGTCTCCTAACTAACTTTTCTAAAACAATTGTTTAATTAGCTGAATCTTTCAATTCTATTCAACTTAAAGATAAAACTAAAAATTGTTTAAACTTGAGGGCTTATACAACTGTAATTTTTTTCAATAAAAAATATATCTACAGATACTGTAGTGTTTGTTTAGAGTTTTATACATGCGAATACAGGCAACTTTTGTACAATACTCATCTATATCGGTTTATTGAATTTCTAATCTGTACATCCAGTTCTATGAAAAGTTTATGAATATAATTTATCCGAAATATAAAGAAACCAATATATAAAATGTTTGACAGAAAATATTCTTTAAACAATTTTTCTGATTTATATATGCTATAGTTCCTGAACGACGGAAACAAGTAGAAAATATCACACAACGTTTATCGATAGATTTTCCCTCTACAAATTCATTCGAAATATTAAATATCAGAAGAGATATGATAAATTGTTCAAGACAAATGTGATTGAACACAAAAATTATTTGGTGGAAATTGTCTAGTTGATAGCATTAAATATTCTATATATATATATATATATATATATATATATATATCAAGATAAATGTATTTCCTTTAAAAATTCCATTATCTATGCCACTTAAGTTGAACAAACATTTCGAAATGGGTATATATATATATATATATATAAATGTAAAAAAACAATAAGGAACTATATCAAAGCCTACTTCCTAATCAAATTGTTTCGAAATAAATCCGATTACAAATCGATGGTAAGTAGGACTAAATTTAATTCCTTTTTTGTGTTTCTTTTTTTCCATGATAGATGGATGGGAGAAATTATTGTGTTCTTGCATAAAACAACAGCTTGAAAATAAAATTCATTTTAAGCCAGTGTAGATTATTCAGTAATGTAATTCATTGTTAGATTATCACTCGATAAATCAGTCAGTCAGTCAATTACAACGTAGAACTTCGTACGTAAGTACATCACTCGATAAATCAGTCTATGGATATAAACTGGTACATATGATTTTTGTTTGTCATTAAACATCCTTTTTTATGTGTTACGCACCTTACTTGGTACGCTTGAAGTTATTACGAGTTCACCTTAGTCGATAAACGCGAACGAGACAGTTACCAGCGTCCAAATAGGCTACCTTGAATCCCAAGCGGAAAACAGAGGGCTTTGTAAGCGTTTATTCTACAAACATCCAGCAATCACAATACAGTCAAGCACACAACTCTCGTTTAGTTATCCAACATAGAAACGTCCTTGAGACAGTTACGAAAATGGCACACTAAAATACACAGCCATGGATTTTCCTGGTGGGCAATGAAATTTCAAGGTCAGCTGATCAGCCCATGCTCATTAATGTGAAATCCGAAATGAGGCATTTATCAAGCGAGTTCTGGGGATCTAACATCCCCAACAGTTTGTGGTTTCAAAATCTAAAATCAATCATTACAAATTTTTACTAAAGTCTTACTTCCTTTTAAAATTACAGTCAATGATCAAGTACATAAAAAACTGTTATGAACTATTTTAAGATTTGAGTCATGCATAAAAGACCATGGTGTTTTGTGATTTATTGATGAGGAATGACAGATAATGTACAATTTTTCGGTGTGGGTTATATTTTGACTGTCTTTTTATTAAATGTTTTCAGCTGTCTTGCATAAGCTTCATCATTTGAATGATACTAACAAATACTGAATAAGGATGATAACGCATTGTAGATATCGTTCAAGTAATTATTATATGCATACAATCTTTAATGTGGTAAATTTTTTCCAGTGTGTTGATATTCTTAACAATTCTTACAGATGTCACATTCATTTATAAATTTAGAAAAATTTATTTCCCTAATGTTCAGGATTTTCATCATAATCATACTGGATGTTTCATGTGGTTATGTCTTAAATGATTGTTTACTTCTAACCTAACCATTAGTTTTTTTCCTGTGAACAGATTATCTCCAGATACTTTGATTTCTCTGTTTTGGTACTTATCTGTTGATGCGGCTAAAAAAAATAATATAAGTACAGTGAATGAAACCATGTGTCTGCTACCATGCGTTTATTGTATTCCGACAATCATGCAGTGCAGTATTACATCATTCGTGGTTACATGGTCAACTGATTATGATTTGAAATAAAAGTCAATGGTCCATGATCGCAGTAGACAAAGAATCTCTTAGTCCGTGCAGAAGCATCAACAAGCTAAGTGAAAATTAATTAAATTGACATACTAGTGTCATATTTCAACCATAAAACAGATTAACGATAAAGCCAAAAGTATTATAGATATAATCCGAGCGTCTTTCACTTTCATATTATCTCAGAACAAAAGGTATGTGTTCTTTATTTAGTCCTAATTAACGAAATCTTGTCATCCTAAACAGTTTCACAGGTTCCTTGAATTATAAATATGCTAGGGTCTGAACACCGAAGCTATTATTTTAACACTTCGGAAGATGTCCAAATGAAACCAATATATATATGAGTACTCATTGACTGAACCTAAAATTACTGAATGTTTGAGTAGACAGTGTGTTGCCGAAATCTCAAAAGCACCTGGATAAATATGCCAAGAACGTTAATTAAGTTAATTCGGTTGCGTTGAAATAGTAGGGGGAATATTGTCAAAAGCCTCTATTATCACACCATCAGTATCTATTTCAATCTTGTTCAAGTTCATTTAGAAAAAGTAACTGTAATTTTCATGGGATCCAATATCCCCTATAGAATTAAAAAAATTTCTTTCCAATTATATTCAGCCATGCTTTTATTTAGCCGTTTGTGTCGAGACTGTTGTCCTGAAGGATCTAAATATTTATGCTGATGGATTATCAAGTATCAACTTACATTTGTTTCAAAAAGCTGATCTAAATCTCACGAATGACTTAGTTTAACATATCTGAAAATGATTTCGATCCATATCACTTTTGAATAGATAAGAAACATCCTTTCCTTCTCAAATACAAATACTTTTTCAAATGTGTCACTTAATAATCTTCACAAACGCCTAATGCAATTACATGTGCTCACTAGTGACTAGCTCCGTGAGGAATCTTCTCCTAGTTTTAGTGGGAAGTCGTGACCAGTGAAATTCAACCTGTTCGGGTGTAGACAGTAACTACCAAAGACAGTGAATGAGGTTTCGCAACTACGTCAATTGATCGAAGTTAGACATTAACACCGTTAGATACCGGCTCAGTGGTCCAGAGTTTAGGCATTCACGTGACAAACCGAAGGTCCTGTGTTCGAATGCTGCGAGGTGTATGAGTCGTGGCTGTGCACTGCTGATGAGTCCCATACCAGTACGAAACGGCCGTCCAGCGCTTCCAGGTTTCTAATGGTGGTCTAACATTTATCGATTCATGATTTCAAACGTGTAACTTAATAATCTTCACAACCCTTCAACGCAATACACTTTTTGTTTGTTGTTAACTAACAAGTAACGTAAATCAAAAACTACTTGGTGATTGTTTTTAACAACTTGCTTTAAACAAGTAACACATCAAGTCATGTAGAATTGTAATCACATGATCGATAGGATTACATCAACACTACGAATAAGATAAACATGATATTTGACTGTCAGTCAATCATATGCCTATTTTATGCATATCATTTTCTTTATTTTTCTCCTTTTGATCGCCATTTATCAATTCATTTCCTCAAGGATATGATTTGAGTTAACCGGAAAAAGTCATAAAAAAATTCACCTTTCAAATTATTCTATGAATTATAACAAGCGTTTGGCAAATAGCTAAATTCTTCTAAATGTGACCTGTTTTCTTTCTAACATGATACTAGTAAAAAAATACTACTAGATTATACATACGAAAATTGTATTTTTTTTAAGAAATGAAATATTTACAGATTCATTTATGATAATCATCTTTTTTAAATAATAAAATAAATGCGAAACAATGAATAAACAATTTCCCTTGTGAATATAACTTTTCCACTCTTCAAATTAAGTTTGAATACATAAAGAATAAAAAATCTTGGCGCTTTTTTTTGAAAATGTTACATTTTTATCAAAGCAACTATTTTTTTTCTCTGCTTTTTAGTCCAAACTAATGATTTAAACAATGTTCAATTGTTTTATTTGATGATTACACGGTATATATATATATTCGCATTCATTTTATATCCTTTTTATATTTTCAAAAAAGGACAAAAGAAAATTAGGTCAGATTTTACAAGCATCGCTTTGATTATCAGCTTTGATGCAAAACTTTGGTCAGTTTTCATAGTCTTCACCTTAAAAAAAAATAGAAAATGTTCAACGATTAAATTTTATGCATAAATAAAGTATTTAATAAATAAATAAATAGAACTTGCAAGCAAGTTTTTGATTCTGCTGAAAAGAAAAAGGTTTATATCACTTTACCATTTAGAGGTGAAGCAAATGGTCTAATAATTACGACAGAGACTAAAAGCAGCCATAGAGAAAACATACAACGCTGCTAAACTGATTATCATTGAAAAGACCGATTCCATGATTTCGCATATACCTAAACGTTGCTCAAATGATTACATCACATCCCATTGCATTTATCAATTTACATGTTTGTGTGGACACACATACAACGGGAGGAGTAATCGGACTTTGCAATCAAGGGTTATGGAACATGTACCTAAGTGGCTTCAAAATCAGTTAACGTCAGATGAGCCGATTAACGTTGGAAACAGAAAACCATGTTCATCGATCGCCGAACACATAATTGAGACAGGGCATAAGATTGACGTCAAGACAGCCTTCAAAACATTGTATAGAAATGTTGAAGGACGAATTTTGAGGTTTATGGAGGCCTTGGCTATTAGAAAATTAAAACCCCCCTTATGTGTGCAGAAACAATTTGTCGTAACCTTGAATTTACCTTGGTAATCTTTAAGCCTAGGGTAATGTGACAATTTTCCTACCTTTTTCTTATTCTTTCTATATTACGTTAATTTTCTCTCTGCTTTATTTACAATTATCACCTTATGTCTATTTGAACTTTTATTTAATTGACCTTTTATTCATCTTCATATAAAATGCCTTGACAAGTAAATATGTGTTACCAGATTGTTCGAAATGTATAGCGCAAATACATCACATTTTTCAGATCAATTACGTCTTCTCACTGTTCTGTCATAATTGTTTTAAATTTAGAATTTAAATAGAAATTATCTAATAGACATATAATAAGGGGAATAAACCTTTAAAAAACTAAATACTAAATGAAGTATGTTTTGTTGCATGTTTTAAAACCTTTCACTATTTCACTTTTATGATTGTAGCACTATCACCTTAAATTTGGATGAAATCGATTGCTAACGGTTTTTTTTAGCTTTCAATGATTGACTAAGATTGATTTTCGTTTCAGAATAAATACACTCTTCAGGTTCAGCAATATTTTTTCTAACGAACTACATTATTCAAAAAAATATTAAGGTTTATAGAAATCGGCAATTGTTAATGAAATCAGTGATCAACTTAGGTTAGATAACCATTGAAGATAAAAAATGGAATGGAATGCATTTTCAATGAGCTTTGACGGTCCCAATTGTAATAAACTTCTGGACTCATGGTGGGAGAGATCCCCTACAAGGATAAAACAGCTGTCGAATGCGTTTTAATTTTCAACGGTTATTCAATTTAGGATGGATCCTGTTCTGAATATGATATAAAATACAACACGAAACCAAATATCACCTACCTAATTCATATAATTTGCTCAAAATAGAAAAATAAATGGTTTACTGCTAAATGTTGGCAAAATTTGTGTTGATACAAAGTTTAAATATTATTGTGACCTATTTAAATCATTTTGTGCGAATTTATTTTTATTGTATTGAATATGTTGTGGGCGGAGCGAGGTTTTGTTTTTGTTGTCGTTACTTGAAGATATTTGTCGACACATTTGACTATTCTTCTTAAATAGCATGTCATGTATCTGTCATTTGTTGGTAATGGAACGGAGTTATGTCAATCTACTAAATATTTTATTATCAATACCCACTTCCATGAGACTAAGAAAACAATCTTCATATGGGCATATAATTCACGAATCATTTACATTACAATCTCATCAAATAAAGTGGCACCTGTCGTCAACAAAACTTGGATGACTACTTTGTCGCAAATGTATTGATATCCTCAATGAGATCTGATAATAATCACTCTATATAACAAAATAAAAACTATTAAGAAATTATTAACTTTTAATTCTGTCTCTATAGCTAAATATTTTAGTGATTATTGAACGATTAAAATGTCTCGTATTCTATTCATCATAAGCGATGCACAGCAATGAAAAGTCCAAATTCAGCCTATCAGATTCGTGTTTTCAGTGGTACTATATCGAAATCCTGCACTCGAAACTATTCACTAATTGAATGAAGTTTCAAAAACAACTTAAAGTAGTTACCAATAAATCTGCGAAAAGTAGTAGCCACTGAAAATCAATAGAATCATTGTAGATCTAGAGTAATTAGTTTCGCTGAAATCAGTTTCATGTGATTAGATTTTGTTGTTCTGTCAATAGTTCGTCAGATGAGTTTCTTTTAGATTTCTTAATCAGACCGGAAGGCTAAAGTACAAAATTAGTATATTGAAACAAAATTAAGTTATTTTAACTGTGAACATCTTATATCAGATGAAATACGTTACCTGACTTGAAAAATGTAAAAGCTAAAATATTTGGCATTACTTACACATCACGCATATCGTTTTATTAATGTATCTAGAGAAATAGGGTAGTGCATGTGACTTGCACTCTAAATTAGTATCTGAACTAAATTTCTTATGTAAAAATTATCTTACTTGGTAATTAACAGAAACAACGATTGTGGAAGTATATCTTATTTCAGTTTCATTCAACGGATAGTAGTGAATTTCCTGAAAAAAATCTCTATAAAAATGTTTTTCTCAGTGAATCTAAACTCTATAGGATGATAATTTTGTGTAGAGCGATTCTATTGCATTTATCTGTTGAGATAATTAAACTTAATCAACACTGCTATCTAAGCTGCTAATGTGTATAGTTTTCACTTCAAGAAATAGATTTGAGACGTGAACAATAACAAATTAGCTATGGACGTACTTAGTATTTAGTTGAATAACTTTGGAAGAAATAAGCCTCCAGTTTAGTAAATGAATTAAAACATTGGTACATGGTATATTTCATGCCTTATATATATTACCTTATATGCATTCGTTTGATAATTGGCGATAAATAGTCAGAAAATTCAGACAAATAGCCAATGATATAACTTTGGTAAATGGTTAATATACTTTAAATGAAGATCAAACGATAATAGGAGTAAGATGTGAATAAATTTATTTAATGGTCATCTACGAGATATTCGAACTAAATTGATTTATTTTCCTTAAGGGCAAACTTGATAATGAATTCCTAAAACGCAATATTCCTCCATTCATATTCTTCAACTTGGAATCATCTATAAATTCAATCTAAATTAAATAAATGAATTACAAACTCAAAAAAATGATTTGATGAACATCTCTGAAAAATCTGAAGATATAAGTGATTGTAGATTTGTATCTTTTATTAAATGTCAGGATGAATATCTCTATCCATTGACTTAATAGTATGCCTAAATATGTTAAACAAGGATATCGGTGAATAAATCATACAGCCATGCTGAATTCAAGCCTTTATATTATTTCATCAGATAGTATTTAAGTTGTGTGCATTGTTTCGGTTATTATAAATTTCTAAGTGTTAAGAGTCAAGTAAAAACAGAATATTGTTCATTTTGATATCTAAACATTAATTTTCTGATTAGGCAATAAACAAAAATTTACATTAAACATACTTTCAGAGTATTAATACAGACGACTAATCAGCTTCATCTGTCACTTAGAATGAAGTGATTATCTGATCGTAATTAAAACTTTTGTTTCAAGGATATCTGTATTGAATTCTCAGAAAATGTATAGACTAAAACCCTAATATAAAATTATGTAGAAAGTATGTTTCGATCAATGTTACTTTTGATCATAATTCTGTATTCCTGTTTACATGAAACTAAGGAGTCCCATACCACGATGAAACGGCCGTCCAGTGTTTCCAGGTTTCTAATGGTGTCCTAACCATGACTGACTCATGATGTCAATAATAAACAACAATCGCCTTAATTCTAATTGTAGAATTTTACAAACAAATTTCAGTTTTTTACATCAAGAACTGATAAATTCAAAATTCTGATTAAATTCATCCTCTATGCACAAACAAGTGGCTAACTGGATTTAGTACATCAGTAGATAATACATTTGACGCTTGAAATATAAGATAATGGCTGATAATAATCGTATGAAGATCAATGCAAGTACATCTTACCGTCAAATCTCAATAATTTATAGGTTTGGAATCTACTACTACCTATTATGGATTTTTGCTTAAATAAATTAAATAGGTTTTTGATAAAATCACAGAATAAATTATAATCAATCCGATACATTTTCTATAATATCCCTAATACAAGCTATATATCAATCATATTTAGTTACTGATACAAGGTAATAATTTCCCTGAACTATTATTCTGATTATATTATGTTTGTCAGTGAATGACACTATTGTACTGTATTTCAAACATACTATCCTGTTGTTCTGTAAATGCTAATAATCCTATTAATAAGATATAATTTAGATAATCTAAAATGTCTACTGAATTCTATTTTATTGATATGAGAAAACTTTTTAATTCGAAAACTAACATAACTTTTAATAAATTATGTTGAGCTCTTTTTCTTTTTTATTTTGTCAAATAGTAAAACAAAACAGTTGGATCAAATGAAATCCACTCATTTATTATTCCATTTGCTCTATACAAAGTATTCAATATGCATAGAGAATTTAAATCCTTTCCATTTTCAAAATCCGACCATGAAAGAGTATTAAGATGAAAGAAAATGCATAAATACAATTCAGAAATAAATTTTGATACAACACAGGAAAGTCATCTACGAACACGATTAAAACGGAAATCACTGTCTCAGTGGGCAAAAAAAAAGGATTTGAGATATCGAGTACAAAAACGTGATTCATTTTCTTTGAATTTGAAGTGAATGCATTTCGTGAATTGTATGAATTATTATAAGTTGAGATTAAGTTAAATTTTATTTTAAGTAAAGCAACGACAAACTTTTTCTATCTTTTTTTCTCATTGAATTTTTCAAGATTAATAATAACCGAAATAGATTAATCAAATGAGATAACAGGAAGATTCAAAAATTTATAAATGAATAAT